ATGCATGCCTGCATATACAAGATGCGCAGCGGTAGCATGCATGTGGAGGTGTACATAGTACATATGCAAGTTGCACAGCGAACATTTGCATATGGACGATGCAGTGTACTCATACACATGCACGATGCGCAGTGAACTGGTGAATGTGTACTATGCACGTGTACTCTACATATGTAAACGTGTAGTGTAGTTATCAGCATGTTGCATATGTACAGACCACATGTACAAGTAACAGTGTAGAAGTAGTAGGTCTTCAGATAGCGCGTCTTTTCAGCAGAAGAACCCGTTGCATTCTTTGCAATCCTCCCCCGCAAAAAGCTGAGGTGTTAAACCACAAGTTCGGTGGGGGATTGCTACCCAACCTGAGCCACTCTCCTCTTTCTGAATTCTTTTTTCGGCTCTCGGGATTCGTGTTCGGGTCGATCTCCCCATGACTTCTCATATCTTAAAGATATGAAAAGTAACCATTCAACCAATCCAGTCAGCGCCATTCTTGCAACATAAGGTACGATATGTCAAAATACGAAGATGCGAATCTTCGCGCGATGGCTGCAATGATAGAGCCCGTGTCAACCTTCAGTCCAATGCAAGTACGTCTGGCAGCCCAGTCTTCAGACCACATTATGCGTTGAGCATCTACACCATGAAAACGTGTGTGTTTTAATTGCAACCACTGGGGCGGCAAAGCAAACCTTTCTCGTTTTCCTGGGTATGGAAGTTTGAACTTTAGCTTTACCCATGTCTGATTCTGGAAGTTTATGATGCCCCTCAAAAAGTCATCATTCTGATTCCTTAGCTTCTAGACATGCCATCAACACATATTTGAGTTGTTGCTTCCCTTTTGGAGCTCTAGACCTAGGCAACCTGCATGTGGCCCATTTGCCCAGTGTGGTTGCAGCCGAGCCTCCCACGCAGCTGGCGCCATATTTGCCCGGGACACCCGCAGGCCTAGTTTGTGATGGATCAGACATGTCCATCACAACAGCTGCACACACACACACACGAGCCATGCAACGCATTGACGAGAGGCATCTACTCTCAACCTACTTCTGAGTGTGCCCTCAGCCGACCCATGAGCAGGGAGACTTTGATGCAAGCTGTGGTGGTAAAGTGAAGATTGAAAATAATATGAGGGCCTGTCAACTTCTTTCGGCAACTTGCTTTCCCAAGTTCACTCTTTTGTTTTGCTTTCCTTTGTCTCTGTTTGAGCTTCAAGCTGCAAGTTCAGTTGATGTCTTCAGGAGCATACTGGACGTCGTGCAGATGAGCGATAGCTGGTTAGGCATGATAGGAAGAAAACCCAGCAACGTACAAGAACAACAACACAAGACCTGTTTATTGGTGACAGTTCTTGGCAACGTGAACCTGTAGAAGCTGCCCAGATGTTCTGTTAACTCTGCACAAACTTTTTGTGTCCTTCCGACAACAGTTGAACAGCAAACACAATATAACTATATATATATATACACACAGTTTTTTTAAACCCTAGCTAAATATAGCAGCTATAGCATCTCCGCTTGAAGTGGAGATGATCGAAACGGGGTTTGTGCGATGTCACAGCGAAGCTGTCGTGCATCGCCAGCGCGGCTCAGCGACCCGACTCCCACGGCTTGGCCAGTTTGCAAAGCGGGATGGGCTTTTTCAAGCTATGCCAAGCTGAATTGCAATGTCTAGATCTAGGCACACTGCCTACACTTAAGATGCGATCAGTTGCATCTCGGTTGTCGCTTGAGTTTGCCCATTCCGGTTGATTTGCATTGTTCTTTTTGGCTTGGTAAGCTCACATCCACCATGGGGAGAGACAAGATGCACAACTGAACTCCCATCAAACAAGTGCAGAGATGCAGGCACAAAGGCTTTTGTCGATTCACATTGAAAAGGAAAGTGGCGCGACTTGTGGAAGTAAAGTCGTAGCAGCCAATGCAGTTCTGACAATTCGGCGCACATTTTACATTGTCACGTCATGATTAGATTCCCACAATATTCCCACAACGGACTCGGCATTGCAATGGAATTGACCTGGCCAAGTTGACATTGCAGGTACCGTGGCGAGTTCCAGTCGTTTGTTTAGGAGTTTGAGAGGAGTTTCATATGGTGTTTGGGTCTGGTGATTCATAGGCTTCATCAAGTTGGAGCACACCATTGTAAACACCCAAACGGGGAAGGCTCAGAGAATTTGACCCTTTCTCGGAAGCAGTTTTTGTTTCTGTCCTCATTTTGAAGTCTATGATGAGATGCCAATCGGGAATGTGCAAGTGTTTCTCCTTTTTTGCAATCAGGTGCCAGTCTTTGACCATCCGAGTTTCTTATGATGTTTTTGTTTTTCAATAACTGTATACATTGTTGAAGCCACCTGGGAACCCGAGCCTTGCCTGCGTCCAGCTACTGGTAGCTTCTTTGCTACTTCTTAAGTTGTCTGCGAAATTAGGAGTTACAATGTATGGTGTATGGTATTTTGTTCCCATTGCTTGTAGTTTTATGAAAACAAGCTATTGCAATCTCTATTGTTTTCAAAACTATTTATTTTTAGGAAAAACATAGGAAACAAATAGGACCCCAAAATAGGAATAACATAGGACTGAAAACACGAACAAACATGAAATAGGAAAACATAGGATTGAATGTCCAGATTTCCTGGAAGGCTGGTGGCTCATTCCGACCAGAGGCATGATCAGACATGTGTGCTACAAGGAATTGATGATTTTCAAAAAGAAAATGAAAGGAAATTATTTTTTACAGAAAACATAGAAGAAATTGATCGATTTTAAAGGAACATGAGAGGAATTAACCAATTTTAAAGGATACTCCAGTACTGATCCCCAGTACCCCAGTACTCCAGTACTGATGCCCAGTAGTCCTATTTTTTTCCTTATTTTTTCTTTTTTGAAAACTAGACCTATTTGTCCTATTTTTTTTCGTTCTTTTTTTATATCATTTTCTATTTGTTTCCTATTAAAAATAGGAAACCAATAGGAAATAAATAGGCAAAAAAAAATAGGAATCGAAAATAGGACATACATAGGACAAAAATAGGTCCATTTTTCAAAACAGGAAAACATAAATTAGGACTTCTGGGGATCAGTACTGGAGTACTGGGGATGAGTAGTGAGTGGAGTACTGGGGATCAGTACTTGGGGATCAGTACTGGAGCACTGGGTAGAGCATTAAAGTCAAATTTTTAAGGGTGTAAAACCTGTGACAATGTTCCTTTTGTTCTTTTGTCGTTGCTTTCCATTTCTGGCACCCTTGCTCATTCTATATTTGATTCTGTCCTAGATTCCTGTCTTTCATTCGTGTTCTTTTTCCATTTTCTTGAAGCCTTTATTCCAGTCCTTTGCTCTTCGTATCCTTTTCATTTTCTATTCCTAGAGTAGTGTCGTTCTTTTCCCTTTTTTCATCTATTCCTTTCCTATTTCTAAATCCAGCTCTATTTTTTTCTAATTGTGATTCCTATTGTTTTTCTATTTATTTCCTATTTTTTTCCGAAAATACTTATTTTGGGATTTAATAGACATTGCAGGCAGCTTTTTGTCATAATTGTAGTTGTTTTCTTTGTCCTGATCTTTCTTTTGTGTTTTGCTTTTTGAGGTTCCTCCTTGTCATTGTCTCACATCACTCTTGGCTCTTCACGAAATGCCTCTTTTTCGCATATTGCTCTTTGTCCGGCCGGTGTCGGTCATGGTGCCAATTCACTTTATCGCTGAAATGCACTTGTGAATCACTTGTGTCCGCCGCATGATTGTAGACGCGTAGGTCACTTCGCGCTAGAATCGTCGCCAATGAATGTCCACCCACACAGCACGATGTCAGGTTGCAAAACTCAAGAAACGTTTCAAAAACGATGGTAGAAACGTTTCATTGGACATCTACACTAGAATTTCTCAGACGCCCACCATGTGAGTCTCACGGGATGGTCGTGTAGGCTCAGATGTAACTACTCTCGACTTGTCTGAATTCGAAGAGGAGCGTGAAGCATCCATCGTGGAGAATGCCGGGCTATTGTCTAATGTATCGGAGTCAGACGAACAAACGTGAAACGCCAGTGCAACTGCCTTTACATGTTGTGACCTTCACAAGTTAAGCAACACATATTAGATCATGTTAGCATATGTTCGCTAGTTGGAGCCATCGCCTGGGTCAGTTTGCATCAAAAAGGTTTCCATTTGCCTCTCCGTTGGGAGGGACAATGAGACGATGAGACGACCCAATGTGCCCCGACATGATTTGTGGGAATCAATGTGGCAGCGGGTCACAGGTTCCGTGCATTGAGCGCTATCATTTCACTGCCAGGTGGAGGGGGAGCTCTTCGTACCTTTCACAGTTTTGCCAGGTCAAGGCACATGGGAAATGTTACTAGGACAGTTTTTGCTAGTTTTGCCTTTGCATGTTAGGGAGGAAACTACCCAGTCATAGCTTCCTCTTAATTGGACACCCTTTGGAAGCAGCTCACATGCAAAAGAAAGACTTGCTTGATTTCTTCCTCATCCTCGATAGCCCCAAAAGTCGGAGAGTGTTGGATCAAGTCTCGTGGAGTCTCAAGCTCAACAGCCCAAGGCGCATCACAGGAATCTGCTCTTGGCATTCGATTCCGGCTATGGGCTCAATGGCAAGGGACGTCTGCTTGTTTTGGTGGAGGAAGAGCCTTAAACCTTGTCACCGTCTGACAGAACCGATTGTATAGCCTGATATTCTACGTCGTGTTCCAGGAGAATGGCGGGTGACCGCTTTCGAAGCCCATAATTGATATCTTTGCAGGTGTCATGACAGGTGGAGCGAACCCTTATGAGCTCATTTGGTTGGCTGAAGGGGTGTATGCATTTCTTCCGCAATAATTTGGCGAAGCAGGCTTTTCTCAAGACACAGATGTACAACATGAGACTTATCAGACAACAGAAGACAATATTCTTTTAACACAAGGATAACCATGAACGAATGATTCTATCGTACACAGGAGCTGCGATGTCAGCAGGCTCTTTTGAAACTCAATCACACTGCCCAGACCGACGGTCTGGAGTTGCTTAAAGCATTCAACGTCATTCAACGAAATCTTCGCCATGCCGATTGATTATTCGAAGTTTGACGACATTGAGGATGATCTTGATGGAGGTAGATTGGATCTCTTGTGTGTGAGAGAGAGGTTCGGGGCATCAAGAAGTACGCAATACTCCAGGTTTCGAAAGCGCCAGCAGAAATCAAGTCATCAGGCAATGATCAGAAGTCAAGTCTAACAGTTGAGAATGAGGATGAGGATGAGAGCGTTTTCTGGTTTTATTTGTGTTCCTTTTGTCAATCCTGTGCAGATGAGTGGCGACAAATGCTGGAAGAGCTGACACGAGAGGCCTTGGATTGTTTCACCCGCCAGTTCATGCCGGAATGCATTACTTTCCACTGTGAAGGTGATAGCATTTGCGATTTTACAGTTTTTCTGTTTTTCGTTTGTTCTCTCGAACTTTCATCGCATTAGCCTTCCAGGTCGCATGTGATCGGATGTCGTCACCGAGGTGGGCAGTCTCTGCCAAGTACAAGGTGTGATGTTGAGGCTACAAGGCTATTAGATGTGGGCTCACACCTACTTCTCAAGGAGTTAAATATTGCAGTATTTCATGGCATTTCGCAAATGTACTATAGAAAAGGGCATGTGCAAAAGGACTTCCCAGAATGAAAGGGAGATGACAGAGGTGACGTGCCTGCCCGCCTGCCACCTTGCAGCCCTTGCATGCCTGCAATTGCTGGATTATGTGCATGTCAAGGATTATACAAGTGCAAAAGAGTTGTTACATTTTCTCAAAGAGCTGGAACCGCCTGTTGTAACCATTCCCCCAAATGGTCACTCGTTCCATCTCCTTTGACTCTTTGACTGTTCTCACCTGGAAGCTGAATGCTTCGAAGCATTCCCAAAGCACAGCATCACAGCTTCTTTCTTTCAGTGCTCAGTGCACCACAACGCACCATTCACTACAAGGTGTCCCACAGCAAGAGTCACTCCTTAGCACAAACTCTCCCTTTTGGTTTTCGTACGATTTGTTTAGGTTCGGTGATGAGATGGGGATGGACTTGGGCTTTGATCTTGGCTACGATATGGAGATGGATGATCCAGGCCTGGCAAGATCATGCCTCACAAGACCTTGTTCCAAAGAATCAAGACGTTCAAGAAGACAAGGAACAAGGACGCTACTAGGGGCTCCTGGCCTTACTACTAGGAGCAAGAAGCTACTAGGGGCTCCTGGCCATACTACTAGAAACAAGAAACTATTAGAAACAAGAAATATATAAATATAAATAGAATTAAACTATTGCGAAGATTCCCGTGGTAGACGAGGCCCACGAGAACAGGACACAAAGAACGTGTCGCAAGCGAATTGGGGACGACGGACGTCGTCGCGGCCGCATGCCAAGCTTTTGGCGTTTCGAGCCCTCCCTCTACGGGAGGGGTCGGTCTGTCAAAGTTCTCAGAACTGCTGCCGCCTAAATGCACAGCGTGTATTTGACACAGGCGGTAGTTCTTTTCAAACAAAAAAAGGAAAGCGTGCCTCAAATGCCCGCCACATCAGCGAGCCAGGCACTCACTTCGGCTCGGGTGGTTGTCCCGAGCTGGAGAAAAGTGCTTCCAACAACAACACTTGCCTTGTCCACAGGCGAATGTCGGTTGGCGCAGTAACTACACCCTCTCACGAGCATGCGGTTCCTTGGAACCATTTGTTCTACCAGGTGGCAATCCTCTCGATGCCAGCATTGGCCCTGCTTGGAAACCATGACGTCGATGGCATGGGGACATGTTTGCCAGTGGTCGTCTAGCATGTCCAAGAGGCGGCGCATGAGAACTGCGCCATCTTTGGCCAAGGCCTTGTAGCCCTCATTTTCCTCAATCAGGTTGTTGTTCTCGGCTTGGGCTAGGCTCATACCATGGCGTGCCTCCAAACAGGCTCGCAGGTGGTTTCGGTTTTCTTCTTTCTCACGGGCCAGTAGCTCACGAAGTCGGTGGTGAACTAAGGCCTCATCTTTCTGCACTCCCACATGGGCGAATGTCGCCTGGCGCCTGCAGCACAGCCTCAGACATAGATGCCCCACCATGAGGATCAGCGCAATCCCCATGAACAGCAAACCAAGGTCCTCCGTGTGCTCCGTGTGGTTGGTGCCATTGCTCCAACACATGTCTGAGCTTGCTCGGCATGAGTTCACCATCATGAATAACATGTACCGAAACAAGACATTCTTCATGCGACTCTTGTTGACATTGGAGCTGCGGTGTGCGACATGGCTAGTGGCGTACACATACACAAGAGGGAGGTGGTTTGCAACAAACAGGGCATTCTCTTCGGAACCATCGTGGACATACTCATCAACCTTCTCGTGGACCAGGGGAAACTCATCTACATCATGCTCATGACATGGACCTTCAGCAACAGGTTCATTAAGCCCAGCAGCCTTGGCAGTGGTTTCCGCCAGAGCTGACAGCTTTTCATTCTTTGTCTTCTTCTTCATGGCGGTGTAGCTCGGGTCCCAGGTGAGTTTGATGCGGTGGTGCCTCAACCTCGTGACGAAGAGCCCTCTGGCGGCCTCTTTGGTGAGGCCGTCGGCGACCTGACGGTCAGAGCTCATCATTTGAGAAGCCCGCCTAGTTCTTGAAGCCTCTGCTTCATGACCCTGATTTCCAGGCTGACTCGCTTGTCAACAACCGAGGAACTTGTGGCTTCTCGATGGTAGGCATCATACAATGCCTTGGCGTCCGTCACCATGACAGGGCGAAGGGACGATTGGACTTCCATCAAGTTCTTGAGGGGCAGGTCAGGCTCAAGGAGGTGGTGCCAGTACCTGCAAACGAAGTCCGTGGCGTCGCTCGCCTGCCCACCGGCTTGTGCCTCCGCTCCAAGAGATGAGCGGGCCACCCTGGGAGTCTTGAAGCTCTTCCAGTCCAGGATGTGGTAGAAGTCCTCATCATCAGACTCCATCAACTTGTCGTTGACCATCATCAGCGCATAGCCGCCTTGAGAGCTGCCATCATTTCTGGTCGAAAAGCCAGCATCAAAGAAGCAGAGCAGCCTCAGGTCCGAAGGGGAGCCAATGTGCCGGTATTGCAGGCCAACGTCCTTGTTGTCCTTGGCGAACTTGAGAAGCCGATTGCAGTCCAAAACGGTCTGTACCGTGGCCTTGGAAATCTGGCCAGCAAGCAGCGAAGTGCTGCACTGCAGATGTGGGGCCGTCTGCACAGCAGGCCATTGCAATGAGCCCAGTGGCCCACGTAGTTGAGTGATCTCTCGCTCCTTCAACAGTTCGGCTGGAGAGCGCTTCTTGTCCATTGAGATGGGCTTGACCTTCTCCATATACTTTGTCTGGTAGAGACAAGTGCCGCCCTCATCCAGTTTCTCGAGCTCACAGCCGCAGCACTCCAAGATCTTTTGATCTTCCTTCCATTCTCTGAAGGAAAAGTTGGATTTTAGCTGTTTCACCACGGCCTGATAGCGAGGACTTTTCAAGCATCCGGCACCAAGGAGGTCATCTACATGCATGATGACCATGCCCACAAGGCGTCTTTCTCCCAAGGCGCTCACTTCAGTGTGCACGGGATCGGCCGGGTCATAGTTCGTCGTCCAGCTCGTAGATCAGGAAGGCGCAGGGGTCCAGTCCATGCTGCTTCAAACCTCCTCGTTTCAGCCGAGACACAGCTTCCAAGAACCAGCCACGGGGAGCATCAATCTGCCCATAGCAGGGCTTCAACAACAGCGTGCGAGTGTTCTCGTCGCCGCCCAACAGTGAGAGAGCCTCGGCTGGTAACTTCACCCAGAGCTTGCGGTCTTGTTCACGGCCTTGCAAGAAAGCGGTGCTGACATCAGCGGTCCAAGTGGACCAGCCCATAGTTGCAGCCAGGGAGAGCACCATAGAGCGGGACAACCTCGTAGTCGTTGGACTGGAGGTCTCGATCTTCCCGGCGAGAGCATCCGGTCGGCGAAGCCCCGCACGATGAGACGTGCTTTGGCACGTGGGGTGCCATCAGGGTTTCTGGACCATTTGAGCAAGATCCTGGAAGACAAAGTTCGGCCGGGATCAGCCTCCTTCACGGTCTGGAAAGTCCAAACGTGGTGGTCAAAGAAGCTCTTCAACTCCTTGATCTTTGCCTCTTTGAACATGGCTCTCTCCTGAGGTCCAAGAAGGCGCTCATTGACATCGGACTTGTTCTTCTTGAACTTCTGCATCTTTGCAGCCTTCTGCTCTTTGCCTTGTTGTTTGGCACTGGTGAAGGTCTGATGAGAGCCGCTGTACATGGCGAGTTCCTTCCGAGTCTCTCCGTTGATCTGGTAGATCGTGGCGCCAGTCCAAGAGGTAGAGACATCGGGAGGTGAAGCGCTGTCTGTGCCATCGTCCGTGTAGAGTCTTCCCTTTCGATTGGCTCCACGGACCAGGGTCACTCGGATCTTGTCCAGCTTGTCAACGTTCACGGGACAGTCCTTTGGCAGTTGGTGTAGTGGGAGTCGGCCTCTGCGTGGAACCATATGATGTCGAATCAGGCATCCCGCACGCACCTCCCAGTAGTCGGTGTTGCGTTCTGTGAGTTGAAGGAATCCTTGTTCATCAACATGCCAGCCGCTGGGAAGCAGTGTAGTGTCAATGTCCTCAATGTAGAAGACCTGACCAGTGAGAGCATCGTCGGTGCTTGAGGTTGGTCTGGAAACCGGATACGGTCCAACTGCTTCGGTGGTGCGATGTCGTACGGGTGCAAAGCTCAGCGTCTCTTGCTTGTTGAAGCGAGCACGTCGTTCCTCAAATGTTTCTGCATGAGACGGTGTGTGATAGAGTGTTGCCGTCTGTGGATCCAGCGGTGGTGGTGCATGAGGTGTCACAGCCGTAGACTGTGCTGGAGGTTCCTCGCTTGGTTCAGAGAGCGAAGCCAGGGAACTTGGCACGCGAGGAAGCCCGACCTCTGCTGTGGCGTGTGGTTGTGTGTCTGCCGCTGCCGTGTCTGCCGCTGCCGGAACGACTGCCGCTGCCGCTGTTGGTGTGGCTGCCGCTGACGGAGGTGATGAAGGAGTATATTTAAGGGCTGCCGCCCCTGCCGCCGACCCCGGGACTCAACTGCAGCTTGCGCTCGCCAAAAAGCTATGGTTCAGGTGACTACGACAGAAATTCCGAGACCGGTTCAGGGGCCCCTGCAGAATCCCTGTACCAGCATGTATAGTTCTTTGCGCATTGGTGCTACCCAGTTGGATCCTCATCCAATGGGTTTTAGTGGGTCTACATGCCACACTGTAGATCTTAGCGGCAGATCAAAATAGAGTTTTCAACAAAAGGGACTGAAACAGAAGCAAGTGTTTCAAGCGAGTCGCTGAATGCATCCGCTTCTGCACATCGTCCTTGCTCCTTGCCCTCTTGGCTGACTTCTTTTTTGCCTGGGCCTTTCCTTTTGGTTCCTGGGCCCTCTTCTTTGGCTGGTTGACCTTTGCCTTTGCCTTAGCTTTTGGTTTGCTTTTTGGCCTTGACTTTGCTTTTGCAGTAGGCAAAGAACTCCTGCCAGCTTCAGACTGCTCTTCGCGTTCGCTTGGGCCAAACGCTGCCTCTGAATCCCTAGAAAAAAACAAGTTTGTTTCCATTTGTCTCGGTCATCTTGGCCCCGAACACCTGGTCCCGCCACAGCTTTTCCCAATCTAATTCTGATCCAAAACAAGCCTCCCATGGTCGCACTTTGGGTGCCAAACGCTGCCTCTGAAAAAAAGAAGTTTCTTTCCATTTGTCTCGGTCATCTTGGCCCCGAACACCTGGTCCCGCCACAGCTTTTCCCAATCTAATTCTGCTCCAAAACGAGCCGCCCATGGTCGCACATTGGGTCCCAAACGCTGCCTCTGAATCCCTAGAAAAAAAAAGTTTGTTTCTATTTGTCTCGGTCCTCTTGGCCCCGGAGACCTGGTCCCGCCACAGCTTTTTCCAATCTAAGTCTGCTCCAAAACGACCCTCCAGCCTCCCATGGTCACACTTTCGGTGCCCACCCCTGCTTCCGGCTCGGTGAGGGCCTCAGGGAGCACGACCGCGACATTGTGAGCCACCGCCAGAGGGGTTCGTATGTTGCTGTAGCTTGCGGTTCCACTGATGCATGTGTTCGAGCAGCATGGAGCAGCTAGTGGCCGCGTCTGTTGCCTGCAGGTTCGTGCTGCGACGAAGAAGCGCAATAGGTTGCGGCTCCAGTGATGCATGTGTTCGAGCAGCATCGAGCAGTG